AACATGGAAAGCTTTTCTCGTGGTAGGATTGTCTATAGCTTTTGAGGGAATTAATTCTTTTCATATGATAGTTTAGATTCACGTTAAAATCTATTTGAACTAGTATATTGCTTGCAAGCTATTGATATAAGCAAAACCTTCCAATTGATTGATTCTACAATAAAGCCTGACCTTTCTTTCTTGGTAAAAACTTGCCTTTTACTTCAGCGAAAAATTTAGTGCGTGAGTGCTCTACTTATAAAATAGCCCCACTCATTTATAAAATTAGTTTTAGTTATTTGCTCTATTTTTCTTTGGTAATTCTTGTGGTTAAATATTGAAGCTTAATTTAATTGAATATATATTAATTGTCTTTTCATGCTCTTTGCAAAAAGTGGCTTAACATTATTTGGGATTTTTTATTTCATTTAAGTGTGCATGCATAAAGATATTTTTCTATTAAAATTGATGTTTTACTAGTTAAATAGAGCATAATCAAAAGGCCTTCATTGTTTTAAGTGTTTTAATTATAGTGTGAATCTTTTGTTTCTTATTGTGTTGTGATTGGTTAGGAAATTATGTTTTATGCTAGACTTACATGAAAACTAGTATTTTTAATTTTAATTAATAATCAACTTTAAAATCAAGTAAAAAGATATTTTTAATATAAAAAAATACACCAGCTTTAAGATTATTAAAACAATTTTTACTTTATACTTTTAAAAAAAGATATTTAAGTAGAACTTATTAGTACTAAATCATAGGTGATTTATAAATCTTGGCATAGCTTGTTCCTACTATACACAAGTAAATGCCTTTCCTTAAGGATAGAAAACTTTTCATTCATATAGGCCCTATATATGGGGTATTCTTACTCTATTATGTATTTCCTTACAACATGATTTAATTAAACACTTTTAAATTATTGCCTAAGCACATGCTTATAGTGACAACACTAATCCAAATATTATTGTAAGTCTAGTTTTGAAGTTTTAACTCACATAGTCAAATTTTCTCTTTTTACTCTTCTTATAAGCCTTTCCTTATACATATAATGATTATAAGCTTACATTTTTTTTTCATTGATTTAAGATCACATGGTTCATTTAGATAACATTATTTATGGTTGTTGGCAGAGTGTTTAACAATTGGGCTAGGTTGACCATTTTTCTAGTTAAGTGATGTTGAGCTTACTAACCAGAGATAATGGATCCATAAAATTTTAATAAGGTTATTTGCATACATATATCACCCTTTAGCCGCACACATTCTTATTGAAACTTGGAAAATTATTAATCATCATCACATCAAACTTTCAATGTAAAACATATCCTCTGCTTGGATATAGTGATTTAGGCTTCATTTGCGATTGTTTTTTTTTATTTTTTTTTTTTTTTTCCGCTTCTTAAAGTAGCTTTTTAGTACAAAAATTTTAAGAAACCGTAGAAAAGCAGTTTCATACGAAGCCTTAGTATTTATCTTGTGGTATGATACACTTTGAATCTTGGACTATCCTTTGAAGATAATTTTTGAATCATAGTTTACTACTTTAATGTTTACCTAATTGAACTAGAATACAAGTATGACTCCCTTATCAAGATTGCCCATCAAAGGTGTTTGAAGTATAATTAGCTTTAGGGATGCAATCTCTTTGGGTATCTCAATGGTTATTAATTTTTAAAATTGTTACTATGACGTTTTATGAGTGTTTTAAACATGTTTTGATAAGACATATAGCTCCTCTCTCATTGAATATTTTTTTATCTCTTCTTGTGAGACATCCTCATACTATCCCCTTTTTATTTTCAAAAGCTCTTTATTATATAGCTGGCTAATGCTGGGAAGATTGCACTTTAACGCATCATCTAATAGGAACAATTTTATTAATTATGCCAACTCTAATAACTTTCTCCTTTTATTGTCACCTAAGGATACAAAACCTCTCGTCTTTGGTTATAGTGAAGCAAACTTTCTATGATCTCTTATTATATGCTTTGAGTTTTTATTGTCCAAATATGAACTTGTTGGTCTGATAACATAAATTTTGAAATTGTGTTGAGTTCATGCGTTTTACAAGATGGGTGAATAGTTGTGAAACTACAAGAAAATACCATATTTGTTATGGATGTTCTAGTGGATACTATCAATTATCTATCGATAATTAAAAACTGACATAAAATTATGATGAAATATTATTGTTGATAAATTCCTCATCAGGAATAAGAATATGTCATAATTTATGATGAATTTTTTGTTAGTGGTTTTTTTAATGAGTTTTCCTTCTAAAAACTATAGGAATTTTTTTTTAAAAAAGTAGGCATTATATGAATTAATTTAACATTTTTTATGAAAACCTATCAGAAGACAACAACGCCAATCACAATATAAAATACTAATAGTAAATACATGCACTCAAAATAAACAAACAAACAAATGATCACAATCAAAATTTTAAAATATACAAAAAATTGTTCATAAATAATCACATGTTCAAAAATTTTCACAGATAATCAAAATTTTGAATTGTCATATTTTTCTCTCCTCTCCCTCTATACACATATAAACTGAACTCCTCCAACTTGGTATCATCCCTTTAATCTTCCTCTTCATCTTCGTCATTCCTAGTTCATGTAGATGTGTGCTTAAATGGTGATAGAGATGGCAGGTAAGCATGATAACCACCAAAGAGCAAGTACTCCATTATATGATGTTATTTGGCCCACATAGCTTTCATTGACCCTAGAGTTTTGCAATTAGCAAAGTGACATGATTCCTCATAATGTCTTGTATATCCTATGGCTATGGTGGCATATTAGTAGCTAGATATGAGTGTGGAGAAAATATTAGCATGAGACCTCACCACCTCCCGACTAGGACTGTTCTGATGACCTTGTTTGACTAAAATCCTTCCAGCCCTCGTTGCCTAATATGGCTCTCCAGTCACCTTTGCCCAGCTACGATCTACAAACCCATAATCGTGTGACCAATATCGTCTTGCTATAGTGACAACCACTGAATTCTTCAACTTTTGTCACTAAAAACGTCAATACACACTAGTTCGTCACCAAAAATCAACTTGATCATGCACGAATCTCGAGGCATATTCAAGTTGGTAGCTTTCAAAATTAAATTCGGGACCATCTGATTTCCATTTTCAGCATACTTATAATAAAATTGAACGTCTCAAAAAGAAAAACTGAACAACACCAAAATCAGTCCAAATCGAGCCCAAATGGGTCCAAATTGGGGCCGAACCACAATTGGAAGGTTCAAAACATTATTTTGATGTATCCAAATATGACATGCTTATTGTTAAATCGAGCGGCTCGACGAGACAAATCCAACGAGTCCAAGATCGCTAAATTATGACATAGTTAAGACACTTAAACAGTTGAAAAACTCTCTATGATTAGGAGAATCAATACGGGCCAACTGATGGAGCACTCCGAACATGCCCCAGATCTTATCTATATTTATGGGGAATGCCACTCATGAAAATTTATAAATAGACCCACCCACACTCTCTATATGAAGGAGACATTTATTTAGAGATTGAAGAGTTCATAGGCTTCAATAGCTCAGTACCAACGCCCGGCCACGCACCAATCGCCGTCGGACTATAGGCCGACCATCGCCGGACCACTGCCTCGCCGCCGACCGTCGTCGGACATCCACCTTGATGCCGACCACTATCAGACTTCCAATCTGTTGCCGACCACTGCGAGACTCAACCTGGCCGTCGTCAAACCACTGCCAACCATCGAGTGCCGACCGTCTCCCGGCCGCCGACTGCCGCCGGACTTCAACCCGACCATCATCGAACACCGCCCATCCATCGTCCGCCACTAGACTTTAGCCCAACTGTCATTGAACTATTGTATGACCGTCATTGGACCATCGACCTCTGTCGGACTTCCACCCAACCGCCGACTGCCACACGAAATCAGCCCAACCCTCGCCGGACCATCGCCCAGCCGCCAGACTTAAGCCCCACCTTCTTCGGATCACCATCGGACCGCCGACCGCCTCCGGACTTCCACACAGCAGTCGGGCATCGCCGAACTTCTGCCCGACCTTCTTCGGATCATTCCTCGTCAGCTAAACATCTTCCTTAATGCATTGGACTTCCACCAGACCATCGTCAGACCTTTGCCTAACTCTCCAAACTACAGTAATATAACCGCCTCTAACTCAAGGGATGGTCAACCTTTATAATTTTATCAAATTTAGTGAAATATTTTCACCTGGGTAAGGACCCCTAATTTTTCGCTCTTCGGATTTTTCACGTAGAAAAGATCGGGTGTTTTACTTCTCTCTCTCTATTTTTGTGCTACATATCCGTGCTTTGCTAAGACGAAAAGTTTACTCTACTACCGCAACACACACAAATTATTATAAATTTGATGCATGCCATATGTCAAATGTCAACACATACAAATGATTTAAGATAAAGTAGATGGAGATGAAAATGTCAAATCTTTTTCTAATTTTTAAAATAAAACTATAAATAGTTTGATTAAAACATAAACAAAACAAACAACATTAAAATCAAACTTATATATAAAAATATTTTAATGAATGAGAATTTTTAACTTCACTCACTTTAATTGTAAAATTTAAATTCCAATTTTAAAAATACTATCAAATTAAACAAATTTATTATTTAAAAATAAAAAAACCCTCATTTAAGCCGTAATACTAAATATATCTTTAATTTCCTTTTACATAACGTCAAGCCTGAGGCAGAAATCGGAAGAAACTAAGAAGCAACGTTACTTTAAAGCTATTCGTTGGACAATTTCGCCACGGAAAAATGAATAATGATTGCCATTTTCGTATTTTTCTTCCGATGCATGACTACGTGAGTAATTTCGCCATTCCTGAACTACGGTTAAAGGAAATCCCTAGACCCTAGGTTGAGTTAAGCTACCCATATTATAACTACCCACAAACCTTTTCTTATTTACACGTCTACCATCAACTCTCTTCTAAATGTTGTATAAATACCTCGCCGGAGGCAAGTTAGGTTTGCAAAATTGGAGTCAAGAAGCCTCTTCTTCCTCTTTCTTCTCTCCTTCTCCTCCTTTTAATCTCTTCCTCAGCTTCCTTAGCAATCGTAGCTTCTGTCGAAAATAATGTCTGCTTCGTCCAGATCCAGATCTAGCGTGCCGGCGATGAAAAGCGGCTTGAAGCAGTCTATATCCCCAGCCGGCCGTTTTTACTCGTCCGCGTTCTCAGCTTCAGCGCCGCCTTCCAACATCAACGTCTTCGCTACGTCCTCAACGAGCTTCTCGGCACGATCAACTTCTAACTTCCTTACCCGTTCCTCTTCCCCCACCCGTGTAAACTTAATCGGATCCTCGCCGCCGTCCTCCTCCGTCCGCTTCTCCATCGACCGGCCCATCTCACCTGGCCGTTCAATCTCCGCCATCACCAGCCGCGATCCGGTCATCCGTCCACCGATATCCGCCCCTGGCCGCCGTAAGACATGCATGTGCTCGCCGACCACCCATCCCGGCTCCTTCCGATGCAGCCTCCACAAAGGCGTGCCAAACCGCCAAACCGCAGCTGTCTCCTCACCGTCGAATCGCCTCAACGCTAGACGATCGGCGATGACGAACTCACTCGTCCGGATCGGAACGGTTGAGGGCGAGTTGGTCAAGAGGGCCCTTGCAGCCCTGATCCGCCCTTCCTCGCATCATCAGCGCCGGAGAGCTGACTTCCGTCCTCGGCCAAGTCGCCTTTCCAAGATGTCCATCGCTGAAGATCTATGATCTGATATAGAAGGGGTTATAGATCTCGAAGCAGGTTTGTGAACCTCCGAAGCCTGTGAACCCGTTGCCCTCGCGGCTTCATCGGCAGCGCCCCTCCGATCGCTGATTTCCACTTATAATTTTTTTTCTCTATTTTCTCGAATTGTACTGAGAAATCTGGAAGAGAGAAGGCGCAACTAAGGCAGAAGACGGATCATTATCCGTCCAATTGTACATAATGCTCTATTGCAGCCGTTGACGGCTATGGAACCAGATTTGAGAATGAGAACATGGACAGAGTGAACCTCATGAATATTTAATCACTCATTAACTCATTTAATTACAGATTTAATCAATCTAAAATTTTCACTAAAACGTTTACATCGTTTAATCGAGCGTTCTCGTCTCTATTGCAGTCGGAAGATCCGTTTAAGTGTTTTTCTCTCTACATAAATTTCTCCGTCGTCGTTGACGCGCGCCGTTGCTGTTTAGTGCGTGTCCGTTGTCACCACGGTCCCGTCGTGTTGTCGCCGTCGCCGTCAACTTTTGAACCAGCATTAGTGGTATCTATGAAGAGGTAAAGATGCTTTTTCCTTCTAATTTGCATTATTTTTTACCGTATTTTAATATTCTGTAATCTATTGATTCGTCTCTTTTTCGTCTGGTGCAGGTTGGGTGCCTTTCGTTACTTCCAGTGCAAGAAAAGGAGGCGTGGTCCTTAAGCAGCTTCGGATCCTTCTGAAATTGAGATAACTATATATAAAAAATCTTTAAATTGAAAATAATAATAACATATAAACAAGAAAATATGAAAAATTTTGGAAGGATATCGTCAAGTGGATCTCATATTTGCTGGATTTGAGCTAAGATTAAGGCAAAATATCAGCCCAAATAAGTCCATCTTGACTGGAATTACACATTATAACGTGAAGACTGGAAGCTTAATCGGACTTTGGACCAACGAGAAAGGGGACAGAAATTCAAGCAATAATTACCGGAAATTTAAAGAGGACTACAAATAAAATTTAATAGATGAGAACTGTGATGGTAAAATTTTTAAAAAGGGGCTTAATTAGAAGTTAATTAAGCAAAAGGAACTTATTTTTTAAGTAAATTTAAAAAAGAGCAAAAGTGTTAAATTATTTGATGTTTTCTTTAAAAAATATAATCTATTTGTCATTTTAAGAAATGTTGAAGGGTTTAGTTTTTTCTTAAGATAATTTAAAATATATTACATGAGGTATTTTATAATTATAAAATTTATCAAACTTCTACAAAACTTTATTTTCATTCATCTGGTGAGCATTTGGCTCAGGTTCCAATCCTAGAGAAAGAATATATATGTTTTTAATTTAATAACAAATATTTTAAAAAATTATATTTTTTAGACAAATATATATATATATTTAATAATTAAATATAAATGTAAACTTACATAAAAAGGTTATATCTTATAAGTTTTAAATAAAGTGTTATTTAAATCTTATAACTAATTAAATTATTAAAGTTTTAAGTTTAATTTAATAATAACTTATATAAACATTTTAATGATATAAAGATTTAAGTATTTAATTAAAACTTATAGTAAAATAATTTATCTAAATATTTAATTATATATTAGCATTTTTAATAAATAGTTAATAATTAATATTTTAAATTTTAAAATTATATTTTAAATGTGTCTATTTTTCAAATAAAAATTATATGAATATTGATATCAAATGTTATGCTATCGTAGATATTAATTTGTTTAGTTACCAAGATATTTAAAATTTGTTTTCAAACTTTTGGATTCATTTAAAAAAAATTAATTTATTAAATTGATGTAATTTGAAGTTAAAAATAAACGCCCTATAACACTTTACAGTACAGACCCTGCTACCTTTTAGAATGCAGATAAACTTTAAGTTCTTTTACAGTTTTTTTTTTTTTTTTTTCATAACAAAATAAGGACTTTTATTTTAACATAAAACAACTCATAAAGACAAATACTTATAAACTAAACTTAAAATATTAAACCTAATGTTTTGGGCTATCTTATCCTGCCTAAATACTACTAGTCCTAAACAACTCTTTCTCTTGAAGAGTAAAGGAGGTTTTCAAGGCAGTTGAGCCAATGTTGGAGCAAATGTAAACAATACAAATGAAGAGTGAAGGAGGTTTTCAAGGAGTCCGATGGAAGATTGAATATCCACAAAGATAAAAGCTCCATCTTAAATAGAAGCAAGAGCAAGAATATGAGCCCGCATATGAGAATATGAATGCGATTGAGGATGTCTCTTTGGTGGTAGTGGATTTTTCATGAAGTCCGAGGATAATAAAGTGAATCATAGTAAACATAGATGGATAATAATGGGAAGAATATGCAAGAGGGGAGTGGGGGCGATAATAATTTCATTTATGTTGTGATCTTTATGTATGGTAAACTCTTCTCATCTAATAGATATAGAAAGAAGAATAAATCACAAGAAAGTTATTAGGGTCAAATGAAGAATTGGAATACAAAATGGTGTAATTAAAGGCTTGTTTGGGGCAACTTTTTTGATGCTTTTTAAAGCATCTTTCTAGTACAAAAATTTAAATTTTTGTACTAAAAAGTTACTTTATAAAGCAGTAAGAAAGCAGTCCCAAATGAAGATTAAGGCTTCGTTTGAGACGACTTTTTACTGCTTCCTGAAGCAAGTTTCTAGTACAAAGATTTTAAATTTTATACTAAAAAGTTGTTTTAATAAACAGTAAAAAAGTCCTCCCAAACGAAGCCTTAATCTTCATTTGGAATTATGTACGAAAGTTATGCTATATTTGGGAACTTTCTATATTTGGGAAGATGTAAAGGCTCAAGCGAAATGTAAGTGAATGATGAACTAGTGGAATACATTTTCTTTTTAGAAGTGGCATGAATTAAGAATGGTGGTCATAGAAAGGGTTTGAGGAGATGTATGTTGCTTTAGATTTGGAGCAGATTAATTAACTTTGCAATATGATCAAAGATATTTTTTAGAAGTAGGGCTTAATATCTAATAATATTTGACTAAGTTGACCACTTTGACAATGAGTTGGTCAAAGCCTAGTTTATGGGATGGTTGGGTTAGTCAATTTTTCTAGAGTTTGAGCTAACTTTAGTCAGATTCGGGCTATAACTAGGTGGTGCTCAAATTTGGGCAATATTGGTGGACTTGCTGATGGAAATCAGGGAAATAATTTCTTGAAGAATTGTAAATAAGAACATGACGTTATAAAGCAATCGATCCAATATAGAAATAAAACTATTTCTAATTAGTAGTCTGAAGTAACACAGCTCATTTTGATCTGTTTGTTGAGAGCTTATGCTTCCAACTAAAAGGTCATGGGTTCGAGTCTGTATATGCGTTGTTTGTGTAAATTTGTCTTAAATGACCTAAATGTCCCAAAAAAAAAAAATAGTCTGAAGTATTTTTACTTGCTATAAATCTTCATCCAACAATACTAAATTCTCATTCTATTTCTATCCTACAATTTATTCTCTTCAGCTTGTGCTGCTTGGCCTTCCCTGGCAATGAACTGCTTGCTATACCAACGGTGCCTCCTTTCTCTAACATAGACCATCCAGAAGATGAGGGAGAGAATCATTGAGGCAGAGAAGACAGTGAAGCTACAGTACATTCCCTTGCTGTGACGCTCCAGTTCAGGGCAGAGGTCAGTGCCTATTAAACTGAAGATCTCTCTTTCAAAGCTGCAATTTGCCACATTTATGAGGAATGGAGTAAACTGGTACAGGTTCTGGCTCGTGCTTGTGGCTGCCGTCATCTCTCTATAGATGCTTGGTGTGATGCGACCGACGGTTGAGCAGATCTCTTGGCCAGAGATGACATTGGCGTTGCATATGAACCCTTTCCATACCTGCATTAAGAGGTATTGTATACATATATATATTTCATACACACATACACATACAATTACTTTTTTCTCTTTACAATCTTCAAATGTAATATTAGGATTAGTAATGATGATCAAGAGCATAAGAAAAACTTAATAATCCAATTTGGTTATGTTAAAATAACCTTAATCAGATCTCTTGGTGTGTGATCATATCATTTTAAAATTTTATGAAATTTGGGAACAAACTACTTTTTTTAAGTTAAATTTAGGCTTTGTTTGAGATGACTTTTTTACTGCTTCTTAAAACAATTTGCTGGTACAAAAATTACTAGAAAGCTGCTTTAATAAGCAATAAGAAAGCTATCTCAAATGGAGCCTTAAGCTTTGTTTGGGACAGCTTTTGTACTGCTTCTGAAAACAAATTATTAGTACAAAAATTTTAATTTTTATACTAGAAAGTTGCTTTAAAAAATAGTAAGAAAACTGTCTCAAACGAAGCCTTAATGTCAATGTTCTTTAATATGCCAATTGGATTTATATGATTGAAAAATATAATAGAATGAAATAATGTGAACATTGTGTCTTTGAATATCATGTGTTAAATCGTAGCAACTCCTAAGGTTGTGGAAGAGAACTATAATTTTTTAAACAGATTTCAAACACGAGCTTTACAAGTTTATAACTGATTATAAATGGTGTGTCTAAGACTGATCTAGACTAGGTGAATTGAAACCTGAATCATATCCACTATCATAAAAGATAGTTTGGATGGATAAAATTGCTATATTTGTGTCTCCGAGATGTCTAATTCTGATTTATTTGGCTACCTGTACTGATAGGATATACTATGATGCACTTTCTATGGATTTTGCTCATTATATTTAAGGTAGAATTTGGCAAAAATATTTAGATATTACTCATTTTGGTTATACTGATACATATGCTTTCAAGCCTTAATGGGAGAAGTTCATGTTTTGAGCCTACAAAACCCAAGGAAATATTTGAATTCACATTAAGAGTTTAGTGCCCCAAATAAAGTGAAAAAAGTCTTTGAATATTCCTATGAAATGTGCATTTGAGGAAGACTGTAAATAGGTGTGATCTATGTTTCAAAAGCTATTAAGTTAAATCATGTGGGACCTAAAGTTGTGATTTTGCCTGATTTATTAATCAACTCTTAGTTAATTTTTAAGATAATTGTTCTCATGAATATCTTGATGAATGGCACCATTTAGAGACATACAATGAAACCGATGGAATCATCACCAACCAATTCTAAATATAATATAAATTTACGAATAATCTCTAGGTTGGGATACCCAAAGAGAATTTACCATTTACAGAAAAAGAGAGTGAATTAGCAAGTAAAAAGATCTTATCTTTGATGAAAATAAGCACAAGTTTTCCTTAATATATGGATGGCTACTTATGTTGAAGTGGGCTGAATTGGTTGGATGGAGAGGAATACAATTATGAATCGTTCAATCCATCAACAAACTTTGCAAAGGAATGAGAAGGGAGAGTAAAGAGAGGCACTTTCTAAAGGTATGACAGTAGGAGGAGCCTCTGTGGAGCAAAGAGCCACCAAAACATGTGGAGGTAATGGAGATACAACTAAAGGTTCAATTGAGACCATAGGAGCATCCCATGTAGGGAAATAAAAGAGGTGATATTAGTCAAAAATACGACAACGAAGGAGGAGAAGCAGTGTGAGAAGGCTTCCAACCAAAATCCATAGTGGAATTGTGGCGCAAGAACCAAAGGAACTCATCTTTCAACCCCAATAATACATTAACTGTTACAACCGATTCTCCACAGTGCATTATAAGGTGGTAACCAGTTAGTGCTTGTGGTGATTGTGGGAGCCAAATTCAAGCCACATAAGAACCAACTTGGATCTCAGCTCAAGGTAATCTTTCATCAAATAATTTCACAAAAAAAAAAATTGAAATGCCTTAGAATTTACCTTTGGTGCATCTTCAAAGCTAACTTCGCCGGGTAGACACTTGCGGTCTCTAAAATCTGACTCATAAGGATTACAGAGCATTGGCATTAGAGGACCAGATTGGTTGTAGTTGGAAGAAGCAGGCGCAATAGGAGAATGGAACTTTGCATTGGAAACATTGACTATAACATCATTCACAACTTTTGCAAGCTCAGAAGTGACTTCCTTGCTCCTTGTGAGAGATTCAGTTGCAGTTGCAGCATCAATGCAGGGAAGAATATCATCAATGGCTGTGGCTATGTGAGGTTTGAGAACCCATTCATCCATCGCAACGCAAGTGTCGCCTGCCACACTGTCGAAAATAGAATGGTAAATTGGTAAACAGCATACTGGTATGATAATAGTGGTTTTACAAAAAGAAAATTCTCAAAATCATAAGCAGAGCAATCAAATAGAACTCACATTATAGAGAGAAGGCAACATAAACCAAGATAACATGAAGTCACTTACGTGAAAATTTTATTTTTAATGAAAATGCATTTGATCTATGTCCAAGGAGGTTGATGAAATAAACTTGGTGGATCTTATCACCTTGGGTAAGTTATTAAGACAACAACGAGTTCTTCATGTTATAATCACAACAAGGTAAGATCTAAGACAGACTGTCAGTAAGTTGGTCATAACTTTGACAACTTAAGCCCAAGAGATTCTCGCAAATAGAGATCCCAGAGCTTGACAAGAAATGCTCACACAATCAACTCAACTAAAGCCAAATTTTAAGGAGATTAATGATAGGAAACTCTTGTAGAATTCAAGAGTAAACCTAACAATGATTGATTTCAGTGATTTGCCAACATAATTTTTAAAGAAAAACAAAATGAAGCAGCACAAACAACGTAGTATTAGATGAATTCTCAAAGAACAGAACAAGATACAATTGATCCTCAATTCGAGAGGAGGATCTATCTCTCCTACTTCTTTAGACATCGCTAGAGCCTAAGCACACAAAAACACAAGAACAAACTCAGCACAATAACAAGATAACCTAACCCTAACCCCTCTCCTATATTTATAGCATACAAAAAATAATTTTGATTACTAAGTAGCCCCTCTCCTAAATCAGATCATACCT